CCGCTTGGGATAAGCCTAACGAGCTAAGCCCACGCTGGCGCGACGTCAGCCGCGTCACCGTTTCCGGGTGCCTTTTTGCTCTTCTCAGGGCTTATTTCCAGAAAAATGGAATATCAGGTGGTGGCGGAGGACATAAGCCCCGTAGAGGTGACAGAAGACCGCGGTTGGCAGTCTGCAGGCGCCAGAAGAGCTGGTGCACGCTCGGCAGGCGCTTATACTAGTGGTGCTACTCTCAACGAGATGAAGTCGACAACGGCCGAAGCCCTGCGAGGCCACAACAGTGGCAATAACATCAAGGCTAGGATCATACGCGCTGGCCGGATGCCCCAGCTCCCCAGGGAGGATACCAAGATCGTGATTCAGCCCCGCGGGGGCCTCAATATTGTCAAGACCGGCTGCACCGTGGTGGCTGATGCAATCCTGGCGGCCACAAGCATCTGCACCGAAGATTTGCGGGGCGACACGCTATGCCCCAACGTGCAGCAGAATATTATGGTTGTCAGCACACCTGGAAGGGAAACTGTCAACCACTACGTCAAAGTTCGGCAGATCGTTGTCATGGGCCGAACATACGAGGTCAGTGCCTACGAGGCCACTCCTCGTTCCACGTGCAAGGGCGTGATCCGAGGTATTCCACTCGTCGACGGCCCGAATGATATTGACAACAAAATTGTAAATGAAAGAAATCCGCTCGCCCTGGCAGCCACGCGCATAGGCAGCACCGGCACGGTAATCGTCCCCTTCGACGGTCATAGAGTCCCAAACTTTGTACGCTACGGCCCCACCCTTGTGCAATGTTCGCTTTATGTACGCTTGTGGTCGGCTCGGTCACCATGCTGATGTGTGTCCCAGCCCAGGCGACGTCGTATGTCGTGGCTGCGGGGCTTCAAATCTTGGCGCTTAACACAAGTGTACCTCCAAGTGCAAGCTGTGCGGTGGGCAACACCTCACGGCTGACAAGGACTGTAGGTGAAGATTCCAGATCCCGTATTTTGTGCAACGAAGGCACTGGGAAAAATCTCGCGCCACCAACCAAGGCCAAGCCGCGGCACCACCATCACCCTTCATGGATGGGCAGGACTTCCAGCAGTCACGCGGTTCCGGGGGCCGTTCCAGGCGACCTTCTCGGTCCCATTCCAGGGGCTGTTCCCAGTCCAGGAGCCGCTCCCGGTCACGAGGAGGAGCGCGGCGCTACAAGTCTGGGAGCCACTCCAGGTCTCGATCCAGGTCTACCGGGCATCAACAGCAGCCTAGCGGGGTGTCAGCGAGAAGCAAGAAGTCAGGCTCTATAACCTGGGCCGACACGGTCCGAGGAGGGTCAGCTGAAGTACTGTCGGGGTCACTCCCAGAGCACGCAGAGAACACGTGCGAGATTTCCCAGCTGAAACGCGAGAACGCTGCGATGAGGGAAACTATAAACAGGCTTATGTCCAAAATTGCCCAGATTAGGAAGGCGAGGAACCCACCACCGCAACCCGCCGCCTGCGTCGCCGAAACAATGCCTCTACCCATGGAGGTGCACAGCACTCAAGACGGCGACAGCAGCAGTGAGGGTCAAAGCGCTCCCATGAAGAGGGCTGTCGCCTATGAACAGGAAGGTGTAGCGATTCGAGTCAGGTCTGAGCTTCGAGACACGCTTTCAGCGCTCAGTGAAAGCATCAATAAGCTCGGGGAAAATTTCGCCCAACTGCAGATCACCCTGGCCGTGCAAAACGACCGAGTATCCAAGGTAGAGTCTTTTCTTGAAAGCGTAGTGAAACCCACTCTGACCTCAACCACAGTCGTACAACCCCAGCCCGGCGCTACGGGCCCCATCGTCTACGCTATTCTTAGCCAATCTGAGGGCAGCGCCAGCCCACAAAAGCACCAAGATGGCCAAGCCAAGTGAGACGTTACGCATTTGGCAACGGAACTGCAAAGGCTTCCCCGGTAAAAAGGCGTCCTTGCAGCAGTACATTTGATGCTCTAGCGAAAAACCCCTCAAAACCCCTCGTCATTCTGCTTCAAGAAACATTAACCCCAAACGTCACACTGACTGGTTACCAGTCCGTCTTGCGTTATTCTGATGGCCGGGGCGTCTGCACCTTAATCAGTAACAAGCTCACACACATCTCTCACGACCTCAAAATGGCCACTAGCAGCGCTGAATATGTCATGACCGAGATTCTGCCGCGCAGCTCGGACCGAAGCAGCATCTTTTTTCTCAACGTGCACAGTACACTCTAAAAAAAGAGCGAGTAAAAAGGGTGTCTTTTTGTCCCACAACAATAATCGTCATCTATATTTCGTTCCATCCTTGCGCTATTGCCCCGCCCCCGGTACATTCCGGTCACAATCGGCATGCCCATTATCAGGGTTACAATGCATTCTCGATAGGAAAGTGGCCAGCGCCGAGTTTTCAAGAAAGGAAGCGCACGCAAGCCTGATGACGATTATTGTTGTGGGACACCCTTTTTACTCGATATTTTTTTTAGAGTGTAGCCCTAAGGACCGACGACAGCGCTTCAGGGCCCTCATAAAGAAGGCCGTCAACCTGGCGGGTCCCAACCCCCTGGTTGTGGCGGGCGATTTTAATGCTCTGCACCACACTTGCGGCTACCCGTACAATACCAGCAAGGGCACGGAACTGTGGCAGAACGCGACTGACATAGACCTGACTCTAATCACCGACAAGGCCTTTCCTACTCGGTTGGGCACGTCATCCTGCAGAGACTCGACTCCTGACTTGACCTTCGCCAAGAATCTCCCTGATGTAAAGTGGGCCAACTCGAACATTGACTTAGGTAGGGACCATTACGTCCTGGTGACGCAGTTCTTAGTGGTCCAAAAGTGGGCACAGGAGTTTTCTTGAACAAACTGGGACCAGTTTCGTAAAGTCCGCAACGACCGACCCCTACCTCAACCAGGCCAAGCCTCGAGCAGTGGATTAGTGAGCTCAGAGACAACGTCATAAGTAGCACGAAGAATATTAGTACTGATCTTCCGGCTGAAAAAATGGACAGCCGCCTTGCCCACCTGCTTGAGGCCAAGCAGTCGCTTCTCGCCCGCTAGAAAGGCCAGCGCCTGGATTGCAGGTTGCGCAAGAAAATCTCTCACCTGAACAAGACCATCGAGGAGCACTGCCGCGTCCTCTCCAAGCAGCAGTGGGACGAGGTGTGCAACTCAGTTGACGGCCAGATGCGTAATGGCAAGACATGGAACCTGCTCAAGCACCTGCTCAGCGAGACTAACACCAAAACTAACCAGCAGAACGTACTAGCGCGAGCCATGCACGAAGCCAAGCAGTCCTCTTCAAAAGAGGAGGTTTTGAAGCAGCTGGTGCAAAAGTACCTCTCTATCGACTCGAACCCCGCGTACCCCGAGTACTCGGGACCGGCCAACACTGAACTGGACGCCAAGATATGCCACGAAGAGGTTCGGCAGGCGCTCCACAGGCTCAATGAAAGGTCTGCGGCGGGCCCCGATGGCATAACTAATAAGACCCTGTGCAACCTAGACGACCGGTCAATCGACTACTTCACCAAAGTCATCAACGAGGCATGAAAGAGTGGCGAGGTCCTTGACCCGTGGAAGGTCACACGCACCATGCTCATTCCCAAGCCGGGGAGGCCACCCAACTTGGACAACATGCGCCCCATTTCGCTCCCATCCTGCGTAGAAAAGGTAGTCGAGCATGTGGTACTCAATAGGTTGACTCGGTACCTGAAAGACAATGGGCTCTACCCGCACACCATGATTGGTTTTCGGGCCAAGCTTTCGACGCAAGACGCTATGAAGCTGCTCAAGCACCAAGTCATCGACTGCAACACTTGAGACATGCCGGCCATTCTCGGCCTCGACTTACAGAAAGCCTTCGACAGTGTTACTCACTCTTTCGTGTTGCAGTCGATTGCCGAGCTCGGCCTCGGAGTCAAATTCTACAAATATGTCAAATCTTGACCCGTAGGAGAGCCACCCTCACAGTGGAAGGGTGGCTTTCCTACGGCGATATCATTGATCCTTGTGGCGTGCCGCACGAGCCCAACTTGATCTCCGAGGAGATCAAGCTGGGCTCGCGTGGCACGCCACAAGGGTCAGTGATATCGCCCACCCTGTTCAACCTTCTCATGGTCGGGTCGTCCAAGAGGCTCTCATGCATCGAAGGCATTAATCACACAATTTACGCGGACAATATTACCATTTGGTGCACAGGTGGCAGCGATCGAGAACTTCCTGCTGGAGGCAATAGACACCACGGAAGATTACCTCTGTCCCACAGGCCTGAGGTGTTCCCCAAACAAGTCCGAGCTACTCCTCTACCAACCCACTAGGCAAGGGCTCAAGCCCAAAAACTGGCAGCCGATCTCATCAAGCTCTACACCGGAGATGGCTGTGCAATACCCAGAGTGGACTCCATTTGGGTCCTCGGCATGACCATCGAGTCCAATGGTTCCAACGGCAAGACTATACTCAAGCTCGCCGCCAAGACAGATAACGCGGTTCGGCTGGTTCGGCGGGTGGCCAACTGCTACCAAGGCCTCAAGGAAGACAACCTAATCCGCCTGGTCAATGCCTTTGTGCTCTGCCACTTTTCATATGTCGCGGCCACGCACAATTGGCAGCGTGCCGAGCGTGACAAGATCAACGTCTTGCTCAGAACAATTACTAAGCGGGCCCTCGGTATCCCGATCAGGACGCGCACCGAGCACCTGCTCCAGCTCGGAACACGCAATACGTTGGAGGAGATTGCCGAAGCGCAGGAGTGGGCCCAGCTCATGTGTCTTTCGAGCTCCCAGACCGGCAGACATATACTCCGAGAGCTCGGTCACTCTCCGGCTGAAGTGGACGAGAAGATGAGACAGGTGCCCCGTGGGATTCGCGACCTCATCACTGTGGCATCGATACCGAGGAATGTCCATCCCGAGCACAATCGTGGTAGGCGACGGGCTAGAGCTGCCACATTTTTAAAGCAGATTCATAGTGATGAGCGTGGCGTCAGCTTTGTTGACGCGGCAGCGTACCGTAGGAGCCATGCCTCGTCCGCAGTCGTTGTCGACTCCAAACAGCAAATCACCAACAGCACATCGGTTCCCACTGACGATGTGACGATTGCCGAGCAAGGGGTCATCGCCCTCGTCACCCTGGAAGGTGAAAGGGAGGTCATCTATAGTGACTCTAGGTCAGCTATTTGTGCTTTCGAGCGCGGCGTAATCTTTAAGAAAGCCCTGCGCGTGCCCCAGAGTGGTGGCCGCAACGGTATCAAGCACCACATACTGATCTGGTTTCCTGCACATGTTTGACAGATCCAAGGCGCTCTCCTCAACCTCAACGACTCTGCCCACAAGGCCGCGCGTGCGCTAACTGACCGTGCCAGTTCCAAGCAACGATTCGGGGCCAACGGGGTTGCGGAAAACACAAACGTGCCTGCCACGTACAACGAAATAACAAAACATTTTCACCTCGTGCGAAGACTATATCCACTCCCTCATCCAAAACTTAGTAGGCCACAGGCCCTTACGCTCAGACTACTGCAGACCGACACGTACCCTAACCTGAGATCCCTTCACGCTATTTATCCTGACGTGTTGCCCAATGACGCTTGTCCCGCATGTGGGGATGTATCCACACTGGTGCACAAGCTTTGGGAGTGCAAGGCAATGTACACTAACCCCGACACTACATTGGTCAGGTGGGAGGTGGCCCTACGCAGCTCTCTCCTGGCCGACCAACTTTGGCCCGTCCATCAGGCCCGCAGAGCGGCCGATAGGCTTGGCCTAACGGTCCTGACGTGGGAGTCGCCCGCTGCGCGCTGACGTGCGCCTTGCTGGACCACAATAAAGTTTCACAACCAACCAAGCAACCAACCAACCAACACAGGTCTTTTCTCAATTAAAAAAAAAAATATTGTGCAGGTTATTTAGGTCATGACAAGTATGCCACTTTTCCTTTATAATATGCAATATGTATACAATACAATTACAATTCGAAATTATTTGACCAAAATCCCTACTTGCTTCGAACCTAAAATTCATTATTCGCACAAGCCTACACTTCACCCCAAAAACACAATTTATTTAGAGAAGAAACATCTGTACGGCATTTTATATTTAACAAAGGTATCCATGCACTGGGAGTGGGTAAACAGCAAGTAATTCATATGGCAGCAGCAGTAGAGAGTAATTGTCAAAACCCGCAACCATAGTGGCCACACATGATGAGCCCTTTGAATTCATTCTGGTGAGGGTAGCTGCAAACATATCCACAGAAATCAATTTCGAAATTCTTCAGGAAGAGAGCTGCCTGGTCTGCCTGGTCCAGCACTTCACTTACCCATGAAAGATGATCATGGCTGTTCATTAAATGGCATTTAATAGTGGCCATGTTAAGCACGTTCACAGATTATTTCAAGCTCGTGGCATGTTGTTTCCGTAATGCACTTATGAAAACAACATGCCACGGCACTGCACTGTTTCGTACTCACAGTGTGCAACGAGTACGTTTTTCAACCCAGCTGGTACATGTTTGTTTCTCTTTATGCAGGCCAAGTGCTCTTCTGCATCTTACAAACTACAACATAGATGAAATGCACTTGTGCTCAGTGTTGAAGTTGAAGTTCGTCGTTATTTCCTTTGTCAAAAAGGAGGGGACGGGACTAAAAGCCGCACAAGCGGCTTGGCAAGGGTCCTAACTCCCTGGTACATGTGGTACAGTGTTCGGCTGCTGGGCTACTAGTCTCACAAATTTTATGTTTAATGAGGATCTAGCCTGAGCTACAAAAACATTATTTGGTAATACTGTATGTAAATATGCTCAATAGCTGCATAAGGGGTTAAAATATTCTTGAACACTGTCTAGAACAGTGACTGCTCAACATCAGCTCAGCCGGTTGGCACAGTACTGTGATGATTACAGTCATGCGGAGAAATGCCAAAGGAGCAATAGTTGCCAGCACAAACAGCCTTGTTGTAGTGAACGGATATGAGCCATTAGTGGGGTTACGCATTTTCAGTTGCGTTCACTAAGATAAGAAAGAAGACTGATGTAATTGTGGGAAGCAAAGTAAATTACGTGTTACCATTTTTCTTCATACAAATGCAGGTTGAAGAAAGTTTTATCTAGAACGTTAAAAATGCTCTCCCTGTTTCTGTGGTGCTGCCGCAGTATTAGTTCACCACTACCCCAACGAAGCCTCTTCAATAAATCGGTTCTAGAGAAATTAATGTATTGCAACGAGAAAAGCATGGTGCTTTGATTAGCTGCAGTGCACACTGCTCTGTGCCTTCGCTTCCATGATGGACATTTTCTTTCTTCCTGCAAACATAACTGTAGGTTTACTATTTATGGACACTAGAATAACTACTAAAGGAGCGTTGTTGCCACCCCCACTCTCAGCAAGCTTAGGCTGAAAATAGGCATGAAACTGATGGGTAACTGCCCAGTACCCAACATAATTATCCATCTGTTACGGCGGTGTAGACTGTGTTCAATGCACCACCAGAGATCTGCTCATTTATAATATTCGATATTGCTTTGAAAAAAATGCGCTTCAATTATTATTCAATGACTGATAAATAGGCTGCCATAGATCATACCAATACTAAAGCAGCCAAGATGTTTTCCTCCCTGAATTACACTCCTGAGGCAATTTCGGCCAGTGCTAGATATAGACCTTAATAAATTAAGTGACAAGAGTGCCAAATCACAAGCTATCAGCCTCTTTAATAAACCCATAAGGGTTTTGTATGATTTAGTCTTTTTAAATATTGATGAAACACATTACAAAATGTCCATAGATGAAATGTGCACAAAATGTGCTGAAGAAAGATGTGTTATCGCTAAAGCAAGCAAAAGTGATTGATCAAATAATTACTTAGATAGAATGCATTACATTTCTTGGTATACACACTGTTCAGGAGTCTTCTTTCCTAGCTTTTTTTTTCCAAGCAAACCACTAATAACAATTTATGTGCTAACAATAATCAAATGTAGCTGGCTTTGACCAGCAGTCAGAAAAGCAAACTTGATTTAATTACCTTGTACCAGAAGTTGATCGAGACTGTGTAGCCATTGTGAGGCGCTGACTCTACCTGGTGCCACCAGTACATAGGAAGGTAGAGGACATCACCAGGACCGACAATGGCTTCCCATCCAGACAGTTGAGCAGACAAGGGAAAACGGTCCAAATCTCGATTGGCAAGGTCTACCTAAAAATCCAAGATCAACGTAAGAAAGCTTGCTGTCTGTAATCTGTGCTTTCTTAACGACAGCAGCAGATGCATTACTGGCATCACAGCTTGTACAATCTGGTGTGTCACGCAAAGGTTGACAGTGTGTAACAGAATGCATTTGAAAAGAGAAATACAATGGGCAGACACTACATGAAGTAACTGTTGCCAGTGCAGTTCCGACAGCTTTTCTCCAAGACTAAGAATTGCTGCTTAATCCTACTTTGTGTGTAGGTTTTAAGATCACAAGCAGCAGTCACATGATACAGGCTCATCAAAGAAAGCACTGTAAAATTTCTGCAACCATTTGCTCTGGCACAGCGCTCCTCCAACAGCTAACAGCAAGGTCGTATAACTATTAGGTATAATGATGTTGCATGCATGAAAACGAAAAAAGAGATACAAGAACACATGCCATATATAAAAGAAGAAAAACAAGCCTACATGCCTAATCGAAATACTTAGTGCCTTTTGTGGTAGGACGCTGCTTGACAGAAAGTGCTACACATTACAATTCTAAAATAAATTTTAGAAATATCTGACCTTGAAAATCATGAGTGAAGAACCACTGCAAGATGTCATTCATGAAAGAGCAATGACTACTACATTTAAGCACAATGCTGCATTCTACTGGCAAACGAGTCGAGGAGGACTTCAAAGATGTGTGTAAGTGTGTACAACTGAGTGACTTGTCTACAAACAGTCAGCAGCCGACATAAGTAACAGTGAATGACAAGACAAGGCATTTTCACTAACAAGCTCAAGAAAAACACAGCACACTTTTGTTCAATGGTGTAATTTTCCTCTACCAGGTACATGGCCAAGAGGCAGTTTGTTCTGAGGTATTTTAGCTTATTCACAAACCTCTTTGAGCCATGTTTTACAGTGCAATCCACTTATAATGATACAACATATAACAATATATCGGATATAAAGGTGGGTGAACAGCGCTTCTCCGGCCTTGTCGATAACCACGCAAAGTGAACTGGTGCCGATTAACGCGCTAGTAGACTTCATGCGTGCCTGAGGAATGCAGCCAGAGCATTCGCAACAGCTTGAAGGTATGCGAACCGCGCTTGTTAAGCTGAAGCTTCCGCAGAAGCAACTGCGAGTATCAGACTTCTTCATTGTGCCGAAGTCGTAAAACGCTCTTCGAAGTATAAAATAAAGTTTTTTTTTAAAGCCTTTAATCTACATCATCTGTTCATTGGTGAAAAAAGCGAATTCGAGCCCGGAGCTACGAAAGGTATACGTCCGGCGACGATTTTTTACGGCAGTCCAGATATAACGACCATATTTTCCAGGTTTCCTGGACATCGTTATAAGTGGACTTCACTGTATAATGCAATTCCAACTACAAGATGTAAAGAGTACTTCAAAGACTTCTCCACTCCTCTCACTTTTGCACAACATCCAACACAATAATAAGTTTGGTAAACGTTCGGTGTGTTGATTGACTTATATTCTTTTTTCAGAACAACCGCTTTCTCAGTCTCGCAGGAGCACTACTAGCAGTTATGTCAATGGCCACTAAACAATCTTGCGGTCCAATATCTGCGAAAAAGAAAGAAATGCTCATTTGTACAATGTGAGCATGCTGCAGCATTAATTTTGCAAATAAGTGCTGTAATAACGAAACAACCCGCTTCAGCTAGTTTCAGTTTCTTGCTCGCCCATCCCACCCTTCTTGGCAGCAGAGAGGGGTATGCGTACTACATTCACTTTGGCAATGTAACACAATGTCTGTGATTTGTCAATGGCGCGCAGCTAACAACTGAGCAAGGCTTCCTCTCCGTCTTTTTTATCAGAACGGCAAGGCGTGAAAACCTGGTGTGACAGGAGCTACGCACTAGCAAGGTAAACAAATATGCCACAACGCATGTGCCTTTGCCCTAGAGATAAATTCGTGGGTTTCCTCTTAATCTTAGAGGCTTTTGTTTTGGTGATGCCATTTGTCTAGGTAGTCTCGGGGCTCTATCAAAACGGCACAGGGCAGTAGAGGAAAGTGACAATGCAGACTATTTGGCCAAAACAACATCACTGCAGGACCAAGGTGCCATTTCGTACCCGAAAGGACCAATTGCTGAAGTTGGTAGTTCGTAGTGTTAATTATGAGTAAAACTAGGTAACTACAGTGGCGCACAAAAGACTGGTCAAGCAAAGGAGAGGACATGCGGGAATCGTTTTTTGAAATTATGCATCTACATTGCCCGCAGGGATGTGACATTCACAAAATCTAATCACAACGGCCTTCTGCACGAATTAGCGAGCTTGTTTAGAAAGCGTGAAAAAAATATCAAAGGCTGTTTACTGGTCCTTTCAAAATATTTTCCTCCAGTGCTTTTTTTATGGTTGTTTTTAGTAGTTAAGAAAATGAAAAAAATCTAAGAAACTATCACACTGGCTCACTGGAGACCTAAAAACTAAATGCACTTTAATCAGTGTGTATTTAAGAATAGGGCTATCTAATAGTCCTACCAAAGAGGAGCACATGAAGTAATGCAAAACATATGGCACCTGCTCCCTAACGACACAGAGAACACTATACTGGCATCAAGAGGTGCACATCACATGGGAGGATAGTACTATTTCAGGTTTTAGCTGACAGACTGCTAATTTGCATCTATAGTGAACTCTCGTTAATTCAAACTCAAAGGTACATTTGAATTTTGTTTTAATTATCAAAAGCTCTGAAATGTATGACTGTGGGCAGGGTGACACATTGATTTCATCACACTTAAAAATTTCTTAAGGAGTTTCAAACTTTAACTGCACCCAATGAACAGAAAGCAGAGGTGTAAGGTCCAGAAGTCTATTGGCCATTTTCTGCTGATCAGACCTTCTAAAGAAATCTTTAAATGCCAACAGCCTGTTTGCTATATGTGCCTTCAGCACAAAGCTCTAAACCAGTTGAGAAGCATCACTGTTTACCATGCGTGTGCTTCATTTAAAACATTTATTCACTAGCAAAGCCTTTTTCCTTGTAGGCCTAAGGTGCTTATTTTTTATTTTTTGACTGTTAAGACTAATTAGGCATGCAAATTTTCAAATAGTAGTGGGAAAGCAGCAGATATTTTCTGGTATAGAACCTCAAAAAGTTTATTTAACAGAATGATGAAGTATGAACTAAAAACTAAAAAGCTTTTAAATACTTTGAAAAAATAGAGGGCAAACAAAAAATTTATTTTGTTTCAATGAACCAAAAGTATGATTTATCAGAGTTTCATTTATCGTGAGGTTATTGTAATTGGATCACCTTACTGCTAAGCTACAGCAGTTCAAAATGAATGAGTTAAGTTAGCTTTTTTACCGATTCAGATTTCATATCTCATTGATCTCAAGGAAACTCATTCTGTAGTTGTGACCAGTTTATCTTTTCAACATATGAGAAAATAGCCATAGATCCATTTGCCTTTCATGACCTTTTTTCCAGCTTACGGGATTCCCCAAAATTGATTTATCAACATCTTAATACTAAAAAGCAGCACAGGCCACCTGCACTATACATGAAAAGATTGCTCTGGTGTAGCAGCATAAAATGTCAATAATATGGCTAGTAAATTTTTGTTCATAATACAATGATGCTGAAAGCAAGGGCTCAGTTTTTTGTTAGTAAACACAAGACACCAACACCCAATGCCTGTTGGGTTGTTTTTGTGCTAGTACATATGCTAAACGGACAGTGAAGACCTCTCAAACATATATCATTTGTGCAACCTGTAGCGATACACAACTTTAGAAGGCAGCGGCATTTCCACATCAAAGGCAGGCTCACACAAGCCCGCAGAAATGAACTTTATAAACTGACATCATAAGCTGCATCGTCAACGGTCCCACTGACAGACAGTGTCACCATCTCTATGAGCAAGCTTATTTGTTTAGTCAAAGAAGCAACCACTCCCCTGCTTCAGCCAACAGAGGGGGGGGGGGGGGGGGGGGTTCCCCCATTTTCTAAAGTTGTATGCTACTATAACCCAGTTCTTTTAAGATGCCTTTGATTACATAAGAGTGAACTCCCCAACAAAACTAAAATGTCTTAGTTTACTAATCTCTTTTACTTAACTCTGGAATCCGACACTTCGAATGAACCTGAAGATGAGAGACAGGACACACAGCAATTCGGAATGTAACAAGTGTCTTGAATGACAATACAGTACAACCTCATTGTGTAAATTGAAGTCACTGGTAGTTCAAAAATATTTGAACTCGACAGGTTTTTCAATTCACAGTAGACGTGAAAAAAACATCATTCATATAGAAATTTCATTGCTATAATAAAGTACTCTTGAGTCTCAAACTTTGAATTACGAAAAGCAATCACATATGTATGCTAGTTAGCAGTTTCTGGTAGTTCGCAGCTCCAAGGGTCATGTTTTTCAGCCGGCGAGCTATGACCTATGATCAAGCAGCTGCAGCTGAATTCTCACATCAAAATTTGATGACACCCCTACATTGTCACCAGGCATGGTATTTATAGCCTAGTGGCTGCAGAAGACCATCAATTCAACAGGCTTGTGGTGAAATCAGGATCAGGTGCATCCGCACAGCACCCAAAATGTTCTATTTAAGTGGGAAATTATTTATTACCCAGTCCAATTTGTATTTGAAAATATAGTACAGCAGAAATTCTTCAATTCAAGCAAAATTTCATTCAAAATATTGTGGTTTTACTGTACAACATTCAACTCTGGCACTCAGGGGCTTTATGAAGTGCAAGACCATTATGTAAGTGTATCAGCAGCCTTTGTAATGCGCTAAATAAGGTAAATAAACCAGATACTTATGTAACCAGATACTGATTTGTACAGGGGTAAGCAAAATGTACAGCACTAAAACGACATTGCAGTGTCATAAAAAATCATAAATTGCACATATGCTTGCAGGCAGTCAGTGGCAAGTATGAGTTGTATGATGATAATGTCAACTATTTTGTTTGATGACTATGTGATAGCAGCTGTCATACTCATAATGGCATCTCA